GTTTCAAATAGAACGGTATTTTGCAAAGTCTGGCGCAGATAAATAAAAGTGCTTTTTTTCAGGCTATTTTTAGGAAGCTTCACAGTGGTGACGCGCTAAGTCGCCATATTTGATTCACTGTTCAACATATGAGAGAGAATGCTTGTGTAGTCTTTTGAGAAGGTTGGGATTCTGCATATTTTTAGAGAACCGAACTTTGTGGTTAATGCTTGTTTACTCACTGTTAAATCCTCACCGTTTGTCACTGAACCATCCTCTAGTATTCTTTAAAAAAAGGCTTACCTTGGTAAAATAATAAAAAGGGTTATTTGTAGAAATGGTCATTCAATTATACTCGGAGTTACATTTTATTCACTCAACTCAAATATTAGCTGTAGAGGTCACTCAATTGGGTGTTGTGTTGCACCATTAGTCCCTACCGTCAAGTCTCTCTAACGATAGAGACTAATGGTGCAACACAACACCTAATTGAGTGACATCTGTAACTATTTTTGGAGTTGAGTGACCAAAATATAACTCAGAGTATAATTGATGGATCATTGCTACAAGTAATCCTAACTGAAAAGTCACATTTGGCCATTAATAATCTAAGAGATGCTTGTCACGTTATCATTTTAAACTGAAAAAGTCACAGACTTAACAGTAGGGACTAAGGGTGCAACACAACACCCAATTGAGTGACCTTTGCAACTAATATTTGAGTTGAGTGACCAAAATGTAATTTCAAGTATAGTTAAGGGACCATTACTACTAATAACCCTAATAAAAATGAACCCGATTGCATAATATTAAGTTGGGCATGTTTGTAGATAACCGAATTTTGTAGCAAATTGGTTGGCTCATTTTGTAGCGAATTTGACAGTTTGTAATCCCTTCGTTTTTAAATCCTCCCCAAAAATAAAATACCATATTGTTTTATTATACTTTTAAAAGCAAAAATGGCGTAGAGCATCTCCAAGGGAGATGTCAAATACCAAACATCAAATTTAAATTTGATGGCTAATGTGACAATTTGTCATTTACACAGTTTTACACTCCACCCGATATGTCAAATTAATAATTATTGTAACAGTCAAATCATTTAAGATGAAGAAGAAAATAAAAATAAAAATGAAAAATAATCAATGAAAGTAACAGCCAGCTATCTTTAAAAAATAATAAAATATTTATTTGACATCTTGCTTTTGGGATATCAAAAGTAACAGCTGAACCTCTACCTTTCATTCCACATCAGCTTCGACAATTCGTTTGGAGTGATGTGAGATGTTATTTGTAGCCGTTAAATGTCTATATGACACTTTTGACATATCGGTCGGAGATGCTCTTATATGATAAACAAAGCTGGAGTCTAATGTAAAAAATATTAGAATAACATTTGACAGCAAGGTTTTTAGTACCCTCAAATTTATATAGAATTTAATTTCTGAGTGTAGGGATAATGACTCTTAACCACGTAAACTACAAGTGCATTGCAACTCGATTTCCCTGTTTTTTTTTCTTTCAAGACCTCGATTTCCCTGTTGACTCTAGTGAAGAAAGAAAAAGCAAAGAATAGGAACATACTTGAGGCAAGGGTAGAGCCCAGCCCAACCCAACCCAACCCAAATCCTTTACAGGTGGTCTCGTACAAAAACCAATGGCAACATATAAAAACCCTCTTCGAATTCTGGATGGCGCTAAATTAAACCCAAAGTCACAACACTCTATCTGCCTTTAGGGTTCTTCAAATCTCTGGACGTCCCTCTTCAATCTCAGAATCCACAAATTCTGACATCACACTCCACACCTGAATCAGAAATTAGGGATTCTCTTCTACGAGATGTCGTCGGGCGGACCCAAAGACGGGGACTTGCAACTGGTGGCGGCGCCTGAAAGGAAATTAGCGCTACCGCCAAAGCCACCGACAACGGCCAGCTCGACGGCGCTTGTGGAGTATACGCCGCCGGTGTTCAAGGAGGAGGAAGAGGACCTCGAGATCAAGCTCCGGAGGATTCTCGAAAATGTCCCCGTCCGCGTCAGCAATACCTCAGGTAGCTCCGCCGGGTCGGGCTCGGGCGACTTTCATCAGGTTTGTATATTACCTGATTCAATATCACAATGGTGACTGTGTTGTCACTGTATTAATTAGATATTTATGGTTATTTGATAGGTGAGGGATGTTACTATCTTAGTTAGATATTTATGGTTATTTGACGAAATTACTGAACAAATTGGAGTATTTTGAGTGATGATACGTAGGGTGATTATATTAGCCTATTGGGGTATCTTGAGAAATTTGGTTATTCAGAATGGGCAATGATTTCCCCACTCCTATTTTATCCACTTACACTCCTTTTTTAGTTATAAAAAAGGAGTGTAAGTGGATAAAATAGGAAAAAAAGGAGTGGGGAAATCATCACTCATTCAGAATTTAGATAGCTAAGTATAAAACATAAGTAATGTAGTTAGGGGCCTTTGGTTTGGAATTTGAATTTACTTTTGGGCTTAGAACCCCAATGGTAAAACATTTATCTATGTCCATGGTAGAGTTTGATTCTTACCCTCAGTGGGAAAAATCTGGAATTTACTTGCCATGAGGTGGTATTTGAGTGTTTGTCATCCCATGCATAGTGTATGACTGTGCAGAGACTGGGGGCCATTGAACTCTCAAGTAAGGGGTTTAGGGTTTTTCAATTTTGGGATTGAGCAAGTCTTTCTTTATTTTAGTAAGATTCACTGCTTGTATATTGAGGGTGTTGTTATATTGTATGTGCTTAGCCTAATTGCAAAAACAAGTTACTGTACATTGGGGCAGCCACGTATGTCCCATAATGTAGAACAATGCGTTACTGAGATGCAAGTGTTGCACACCCGAGTTATGCTCAATTTTTTGGCAATCAAAGAGATTCTGTCACGGAGTAAAGCAGGTTTACTATTCAGTGTTCCTTTGGGATTGGTGGAAACATTTCGGTGCCCATGTTGGCTGACCGGATTTTGAGTATGGTGGTTGCTCTGTTATATGGTTTATTTGTGTGGACAATAGGGTATCATGAAAGTGTTTAATCACTTGGATTGCAGTACATGACCTTAATTAGCAGAATTTTTTCTCTTATAGACGAATCTCTGTCTCTCTATCTTGTTTGAAATAGTATGTTATGCTTGAACTTTGGGACCTTCCCGATTTAAACAATGTATTGTACTCTTTGAAAAGTTGTATTTTATTATTATATGTACAAGGGATGGATAAACCTTCTATCTTGAGCAGTGCAGTAGAGTGCAGTGTTTTTCTTCTTTCAAGTTTAAATTAAGGGACAAGAAAAGCCCGGATTTTTACCCCAGTCAGCCTGAAGGAAGTTGAATTGAAGCCAACAGAGCTGTGCCCTAGGGTATTGCAATAGAATACAGCCCGTTGCTAGCTGAAACTGCTTTTTTTCTCCGTAGTTTTGAGTTTGATGTTGTATCAGTCTCAAGGGATGGATAGTTGATACGTTTGATCAGTAATTGAACACATAAAACTCTAATTTTCTTTTCATTCATCTGCTTTTTGCTTGATATTGGAATATTTGATTAGTTATGATTTGTTGGACACTAAGCTGGCGGCTAAATTTCATGTATACTTTCTTCTCACCCCAAATTGTGCCTGAACAGTATCGGCAGATGAGACGGAAAGAGCAAGACAGACTTGCTAGGATGGAGGTGGACTATCAAAGAAGGAAAGAAGAGGCCGAGTTCATTATGAGAAGGGAGGAAAGATTAAAATCAGCAGAAGAGCGGACAGCAAAGAAACGATTGAAACGTCAAAAGAAAAAGCAAAGGAAAAAGGAGAAGAAGATTAAAATGAGTTCAGGTGGCGAAGAGAATCAGAAAGGAGAGACCACGGACGAGGATGAGGGGAACTCTGATGATCAAACTGAACAAGCTTTTGATAAGCTATAATTCTTGGAATCCACGGGCATAAGGAACAAATACGCACCAAGTTTATTGGGATTTCGTTTTTCTGAAGTCTAGAATTTGCCATGTTTGTGACCTGAATTCGATTGTATGTATAATCCGAGATTCCGAGATGTAACAACCCGAGAGATCAGAAAAAAAAATTAGTTTAACTGGTTTGTATTTTCGTAATGGATCCATCAATCGTATTAGGCTGCTTGTCAAATGCAATGTTGAACAAAAATGATGTGGTTTTGTCTCCATGGGATGTTCACGTTCTTCTCTGGACTGGCATATGTACTAATTGTTTGCTTGCAATTGCATCGTGTTTGTTAAAGGGTTTGCCTCACCCGGTACAAGTATGATAGTTGGCAGTTGATCTGCTTCCCTGTGAATGTTACCTAACGCAGAGTGGCCCCCTTTGCCTTTGCTTCGCATATGAGCTGTAAGGAAGGAAACATATAACACAAGACATTCTATATATAATCTTCTTTTTATAAAAGTTGGTTTATAGCATCTTAGTTTCCAGTTAAGATGAACGATTTAGTCAAGCACTCTTCTCTTATGTAATCGGGATGGTCCGATGATTAAATACAAAACAAAATACTTATTTAATCTAACATGCTTTTGGCCTGTTTGCCCTGCTTATGTAGGAAGCACTTTTTTATAAGCGTTTTTAATTACAAGTACGTCAAAATTGTTCCTAAAAATTCAAAATAATTCTTGAAGACGAGTTTTTTCAAGAAATCGTTTTTAAGACCCGTAAACACTTTAAAGTTTTTTTACCCAACACTATCAAAAATGTTCTTTTTTGTTAGAAAGTACAAACACTTTAAAGTTTTTTTACTCAACACTATCAAAAATGTTCTTTGTTGTTAGAAAGTACTTTGAGCCGTTACAAAAGCAGTGCCAAACAATCCCTTAAAAAAAAACCTTTTTATGATAAGTAGATGAGATTAGAGTTTGCAGTTAGACCAAATGGAAAGTATTAACCCAAGTATTAACCCAGAGATCCAGTTAGCAGTTTGGGCTGAGAAGTTTATTACAGTCCAAAAATAAAAAATAAAAAAAGGTACGTTTCTGTTTCTTCTTCTTTTTAATTATAGTTCATCCATTTTGTAATTTCCGTCTCCCTCCCTATCAAAATACCTCTCCAACTTCTCTCTTTTCTCTGAAAACCCTAATCTCCATGGGAGAATCTGTCCCTCCTCGTCGCATTTCCGTTCATCAAGCTCTCGGCGGTGGCCCTGGTACTCTCTCTCTCTCTCTCTCTCTCTCTCTCTCTCTCTCTCTCTCTCTCTCTCTCTCTCTATATATATATATATACATGCACACACACACATAATTTATATAGATGCTTTTGATTTGTATATCAGTATAGGAATATTTCCGATTCCGATTTGGTTTGGATCCCATCTACTTCCATTGATGACGACTGAATATAATATCGTTTCTAACATTCGATAGATTTGAATTATGTAACTTCTACTTTTTTATTCAATATAATCTTGTTGATTTGATTGTAATTAATTGTGTTAATTTTGGTTCTGGTAGTTGCTGATGTGCTGCTATGGAAGAAATGGAGTGGAGGAGTTTTATTGCTAACCTCTACAGCAGCCTCGTGGTTCCTATTTGAGCGAGCTGGTTACAACCTCTTGTCCTTTGTGGCCAATGTTCTACTGCTTCTTGTGGTCATCCTCTTCCTATGGGCCAAATCTGCTTCCCTTCTTAACAGGTACCCTTTAATTCTTGACGATTTCAACTTTTTCTTTTTGGGTATACTGTACTATTGTTGTCATTATACTGAGAATTTCTGGGTTCTCTTAGCTTAGATTGGAAGTACTTTCAGTAGGAAAATATTAAATTTGAATTTTGAAGTACTTTTACTGAATATTTATTTTGCAAAGAAAGTAACCATGAACACGAGTTGAGACGGACGCAATAGAATCAATAGTTATGGGGAAGATTGGTGATGATTTAAACTGTTCTGAGCATTGATTTTAGTTTGAGGTAATTTAAAATGAATTGCAACATCTACTGTCATTCAGACCTTTGCCGCCTCTCCCGGATATGGAAATCTCTGAGGCCTCTGTCGTGAAGGCTGCTGATGCACTGCATGCTTGGATTAATCGTGTTCTGTCTATTGCACGAGACATTGCTATTGGCCGAAATTGGAAACTCTTTCTTCAGGTTTGGTGTAATTGCTTCCTGCCCTAGGTTTATGGGACAATGAGGTGAATTGTTTTTTATGGAAGGGATTGAACAGAACTTGGTTTATTTTACTATTTGGAAATTTCGCTTTGTGTGTGCAGGTTGCTTTTTGCTTGTGGCTAGTATCTTACATCGGAAGCTTCTTCAACTTCCTCACTCTTGTCTACATTGGTAAGCTCTTCTCTGCCGATTGTATCTTTATATATTTATGTGCATATTCTTGCCAGATTTACTATATTTATTTATGTACATTTATTTAAATATTGTGCAGGGGTTGTTCTTAGTCTTTCAGTGCCAGTAGTGTATGATAAGTATCAGGGCCACATTGATGAGAAGCTTCTTGTAGCAAATAGAGTAATACAAACACAGTACAGGAAAATTGATGATAGCATCTTAAAGAAAATTCCTTTGCGATCAAACAAGGAGAAGAAGGTGCAGTAGGTAAGTGTGATCTCTCTTTCTCTGCACTTGCGACACACTCTTCTGTTTACCTATGTATATTATTTCTTCTTCCTCCTCATCCCAAAAAATTGTGCATTGAGGCATTAGAGGAATTAGTTGAGGCTATGCTTGTTATATATGCTGGTTTGCTGAATCCATCTGTCCTGTTGATTTGAAAGAATCTCTGGATTTTGTTTGTATGGTGCACATGGTGTAGGCTGTAGGAAGTGATCAGTGTTTTGAGTTAATGCATCTGGTGAACTATTGAAGTGTGTGGAATCTTTTCTTAAATTATGCTCTAGGATGACCATTATTTGTATTCAGAAAGGCATCTGTACTTTTTCGAACCCCATTTTACTTTTTGGTATCTGGGAAGGAATTTTTAAGAGAGATATACTAAAAGAGAAAGGATGCATGTAGAAGCGCATTCAGTCCCTTTTACTTTTCGGATGCACCTCCCATTTTCTTACTTTCAAATCTGGGAAACAGAAAAAGGAAGGCCTGAATTTTGAGTGGTTAGAGAGGAATGGAGGGCAATCTTTAGCACGAGTGGAGTGAGTATGAACATTTAATTTATGGGTGTGGGTATGTGTTGAGTGAATGGGTGTCTTATTTTGATGGACGATTGAGTAATTTCTGTACAGCTCCCATTCATTGGCAATTACAAATTTAAGTTATTCCTGTGTTTAGTGTCTGTTTCAAGAAACTGTCTTGTTTTCCTTGTGACCCTGTGATGTCTTTGTGTGTATTGAAAATCTGCATGGACACAAAGGGAGAACCACACTTTCGCTGGGGGAAATTTTGGCCCAATTTTTTTGGTTATATTTATTTATACCTTTAACACACTACTTACCCTAGTCATCTTGACTCAAATTATTGCTTTCCTCTGGTGAAAATTTAAACAATTCTGTCATATCACCTCAAACCAATTTACAGCTCCTATAAATTAAAAAGGAAGGAAAAAAGAAGAAGAAAAATCACACTAGATGAACCCCTTCCTCCAACTCACTCCGACTCTCTCTCTATCTAGAAAACAAAAATGCTCAATTTGTCATTTGGATTAGTGTTATACTGACTATACATTTTGTATTTGGATTATTACTGTATTTACTTTCCAAACAAAGTATAATGTTTTTCATTCGTAACTTGGTACTTTTGGTTGATGTGACAGACCAATTATCTTAAAACTGTTTTACTTTGTTTAAAGTGAAGCTCATTTGAAAGTGTAAAATTTCTGTAGACCAAGAGAACCCATATGAGTGTTACCCATAATATTTTATTTTGACGTGCATTTGCATATCAATAATCTAACTATGAATTTAACTCGGTTATTGTTTGTGGATGCATGATAAATTGAAAAGGTTTTGGTGCCTTCAAGCTCTAATTCTGAAGTACTTGCATATATTGTCTCCGAAAATCACTGTTTGTTCATACAGAGTGTTGTCATTGAAGATTGTCTTTATGATATTAGCCCTTTCTCTAGAATTTCTCGTTCCGCAATAGACATCAAGTCTTTTCCTGTTACATTTGGACTGCTCGTTCATTTTATTTCACTGTCTATGCGTACCAGGTATAAGTTTTTTTTGGAGTTTTTCGTCTTTTGCGCATCAGTCAAACCATCAGATTCTGGGGATGTTAGCCGTGCTTGGTTTTACTAGTTGCTTCTGATATACTGAAACACATCAATATATGGTGCAGGGTATCACGGAGCTCAGAAAAGTGTGATGACAGCCTTAAAGACGGTTTACAACGTATGAAGTATTACTTCGGTTATCTTTTTGTTGGCATGCTGCTATACATATTAACAGCCAGACGGCATGGTTGACAACATTTGGGTGGATCCAATTAGTGTCTACATTTGAGTTTCAGCGTTACATTGTTTTTGGCTCTGGTGCTTATAATCTTGTTAGGTTTTTGGTCAATAGTTATTGGATTATTGGATCTTGGTGGTTGATCTTTACTTGTTATATGGGGTGAAAGAGAGAGAATTTCATCATTTTAATCATATCGATTGTTTTGGTTTGCAATCTTTTATATGTCGATATTTGAGTTTGCCTTGGAAATTCAACTTGTAAAATTTTCTTACCATCCATATTCCTTGTTTGCTTCTTGGATGGTTTTGTTGAGACATGTGACACTTGCTACAATTACCATAGTATTTGTAATCACATAAAAATGCAATTGGAAACAAGCAACAAAAATCTGCGAATATAATACAGAACCGAGTCCGTCGTATAACATTATGGAGAAGAGAAAACATTTCAAAAATCATGGCTTCAAAGCATTTTTAACAAGAAGACACCATGCTAAAAAGATAGCGAGTCAGAACTTATGCGATCCTTGGAATGGGAATGCCTTCTGAAGGTGGCAATGTCACTGAGCGCAACAGCTCTAATGAGAAAACAAGTCCCAGGAAATGAGAAAGGATGGTGTTAGCCGCTGCCTGCAAAAGGAATATACAGAGAGAAAAATCAGTCTTCTCCACTTAAACTTCTTGTATAAAAATCATAGCCAAACTTTTGGTTCAGTGGTGTATCAGAAATTATATATGAATTATGGATTGTATTGAGTTTAATGGTAACTGTATCTGAGAGTTTGGAGCATACTGGTGCTCATTACAGCAATGAAAATGTAAACAATTTCCGGCTTTTTATTATAGTGTAATAAAATGAAAGTGAGATATATGAATACCTGCACTAAGAATACATCCAAGGCAAGAACGGGACTGTAACCAGGAGAGAGACCCTGGTAATACGGATTCGCTGAGGAAGTAAGAGCCTTAGCAACTAACAGTCCCACCGTGGCTTGCATGCCAAGAACAGAAGCACCCATACCCAACAGGTTCAGTACTATGCCATTCTTTAAGCTCCTTATAACATCAGCACGAGGAGGAGCCTGCAAATTAGAAGCAGTGGACACGGATGTAGGTCTCATCAAAGAACAGAGGCATTTATCCTTCACAGCATTTCGAAAATTGGAATATAAGCTAACTTCAATCAGATGCTTAATAATGAGACGATTATGATAGAAGAAAATAAAGAACCAAAATAAAAGCAGATGAAGAGATCAAAAGCAGTTAATTTACTGAAATGTGATTGTTATTGCAATTTATCTGGGTGACTGGTAGACTCTGAGGGTGCCTGACTCTTTCTTTTTAATTTACCATCGACGAGCAGAACAATTGTTTTCATACTTCAGCCTATGCCCCAAGCTAGCAAAAGATATTTTTAGTTCATTTAGTCCAGAGAATGGGATAGAATAAAACCCTAATACCCGCCAAGACAAAGAGAAATAGTAGCAGTCAGGATTCAATCCATCCAAGGAGAAATGCCAACTAAAAGAAGATAAATGGGTCAACTAAACCTTGAGATTCTAATCGATGAGTAGAAATGGTTCTAAATAGTACGAATACTACCATACACATAGAATACAGGGGGCACAAGGCCTCCTTCCGCGCAGGGCATTCTCTACGCGCTGTATCTCCTCTTCAACTCGAGTCAACAGGCGAAAGAGTAGACCTCAAAAGCCTCTGCCAACCAAGGTAAGTGTGCAATCACATAAAACTTAGAGATTTACGGGAGGCAAGGTTTAACAAGTAATCACTCCATCTCATCAATCAAGCATTGCAAGAAATTACACCTATCAGCATCCCATGGAACTTCACATCAGCACATCAAGCACAAAGTCAAAGCAGCATTTGTCCACAAAAAAGTATAATCACCTATATGTATCAATTTCAAGAAGGCACATACAATTCAATATAAACACACTAGCTTTCCCACGATTGACAATTGAAAAATACCTTTGCAGGGTCACTTGCAGTTCTTCGAAGCTTATCAGAGAGGCGAATGTACCCGAATGACCAAAACACAGAAATGAATGCCGCCACAATCCCACCGGCAGTGGCATAAAAAGTAGGCGGTGACGAAATCTTGCCAGTTATAACAACTGAAAATGAAAGAATCACAGCGGCCACAACAGTGCACACCAACTGCCCCCAAAACCCTAAACCACCCAACCTCTTGAAGTACCTGGCTGTGCTCTCTAACCTTTTGGCTACCTGCACAGTACACACACCACACAAAGCACTTTGCTTTTCAATAAATCCTCCACTACCCATTGCAAAATTCGTAATTGTCAAATCTATGGTTTCCAATTCGTGTCAATTCATTAGCAATTTTTGAAATTTCATGTTCTTATAGTTCCCTACATTTTCTCGGAAATCAAACAAATTAGAGTAAAATTGGCAAAGTAGAAGAAAGAGAACCTGAAGCAGCTTGGCCTTTTCAGATTCATCGTTCGGGGAAGTGAATGTCTGCGAAATTGGAGTAGAAGAAGCCCTTATAGTGGTGAAGGAGAGCTTTGATCCTCTGTGGTTGGGAGCAGCAAATGAAGGAAGAGACAAAGACGAAGAAGAAGAGAGAGTGCGGCTGGGCACGTGGCGGTCGGAGATTGATCGAAGAGGGAGATGATAAGCTAAGGGCCGAGCCGTGACAGCTGGCGGTGGCGCCGCCGTGAAGTAGCCGGCGCGAGATGCCGGCGATAGCAACGTTTGCATAATTAATGGGCAAGCAAATGGCAGAGAGAGAGAGAGAGAGAGTAGGAGAGGAGTAACTTCGCTGCGGTGTGTAGCCTGTACAGTACTGAGGTGGTATCGTACTGAGGTTGGGAGGAGAGCTGAGGAGGCCATCAATGACAATGGGCTCTTTTGTTGGGTTGAGTCGGACTATATTTGGCCCATAAAATGTTGACACTGTAATTTCATCAAATCTGGTCCACAAAGCCCAAAAGTGGAAAATGTGGAAAGAGGTCGAAATAGGGTACTAGCAACTTTAGCCGTCCGAGAACGAGTCGGGGTGAGCACGGTTTGAATTGGGTCGGTTTTTAATTCAAACTGATGCGCACTTGAATCGATCAACTAGAACGGTTCGAATTGTATTGATTTTGACATTAACTAGAAGACCAGTTGAACCAAACCAATTCATTTAGTGATTGGTTTCCTCACAAGTAAACGAATTTAAGAAGAGTTGAAAATGATCTATGTGTGTGTGACTACATGTTTCATCTTTTGAATGGATACCCAAACTCTTACAATTCAATCCCCACCATACCTCAAAACGACATTGAGCTATGCTTAGAGGTAATGGCTATAGTGAAGTGTCATGTGGTTACTAACTCATGCACCTTGGTCCCTCCATATCTCTTTTGCATTACTTAGGAGAAAAGGAAATTCAACTGAACAGTAGAAACATGGGAGAATAATTACACAAAGTAAGCAATCATATAGGGTTGCATTGATTCGAGCGTGAAATATACATGTGCAGTTTGGTTCAATTGGCCGTGGTTTTCTAAGAGAAGAAATTTTTCAAGGGCGATTTAGTTTGGTTGAGCTGGTTACTTATTCGCTTCAAATACCAATCCAAATTAAACCAATTGGTGCATATTGGCCAGTTTGCGGGGTTGCTCAAGTTTTTATCCATCATTAGTATAATTGTCTGCCCTGCACTGATAATATGTAACTTAAAAAGATATCTGTTTGATAATTTTAAAGTTGAACGTCATTTATCCAATGTGAAACAATTGTATTTGATTCACCAACACTAATTGCTTACATTATTCTACTAGGTGAAATGGCATAAATTCCTGCCAATGAGTTCTTAGCTCAATTGTAAGAGCATTTGTCTGCAGATTAATGGTCTTAGATTCAAACCCTAATGACACTTTCCCTCTCACTTTCAAACTTTTTTATAAAAAAGAGAGAGACATAAATCATCATAACCATTCCATGAGTGGCTGAGGGACATAGAGGGCATAGCAGCACTTACAATGATCATTATCAATGAAGGTGTCTTTCTCCATTGTGATTTACAATTATGCGGATTTAATATGGATTTTTATTTTGAACTGTTAGATGGCTTGTGTAGTGGAGATTTAATGGTTCTTGCTTGTTGTATTAAATTTCCATCGCACAAGAAATTTAACGGTTGAATCCGCATAATTGTAATCCAAAATGAAGAAAGACCCATCAACCAAGTATGTTGTGGACAAGGAAACATAAGCATATATACTGGGCATGGCTTTCTATCTAGCAATGATATGTGATTCATAGCCTCATGCTTAAGGAAGGAGAAAAACCCGCGTGTGCAATCCATGCATGATATGAGAGGGCCCAGATGTCAATAACAACTTCAACTCCACTTACTAAATCACAAGAAAGTTTTAATTTCTACAACCAAACATGACACAAATGCAACCCAATTTCAACTTGCACCTCAATTCATGACCCTTTTTATGTTTATTTTTTGTTTTCAACCCAAAAGAAGTTTTGTCCATATAAGAAATGTCCAAACTCTCGTGTCACTTCAAACAAAATGGTAGCTCACATTGATTTGAACCAACATAATATAAATCTCGTCCAGCAATATTGGTCCCATGAATCAGATTCTCTCAAGCTGCGTGGACGAATAATTGGTTCTGATTATTAATATTTTATTAGAAGGACATTGTGATTAGATATTGTACTGTTTGGGTTTAACTATGATTTGATGCAGTGAGACAACGTTTTCACCACGGCATCATATCAGAGGGAGGGTCGACTCCATTTACCAAAGTAACTTCTACCCCCACCTAATCACTTGTCTTACTCATGCTTAATTAACCTGCTCAAGGATTTAGGTAAGTTGGTTAGAGCGGATGTGTTCTTCATTTTGCACCCGAATTCAAATTCCCTTTTCACGTAGTTTAGATTAATTAATGTGCAACTTTTCTGTAACTTAATAAACATGGATTGTAGCTCTGCAACTTCAGCTAAGAAACCAAGCTTAAGTAACATTTATGGCGTAACAATCTAGATATATCAAGCTTCATACAATTTTGTTTGCAGTGTTTAGTGATTTAATTAAGAAATGTAATTAAGTTTCATGCTGTAAGCAAGTTGCTTCTAATGGCCAAAGGTTATAGGATCTATACAATCAAAAGGTAACATGTGAGCTTATGAAGTGAACCGAAAGGAAAGCTGGCTTGCTTAGCTAAAG